AAGGGACTAGCCTTTACCAGATTGTTCAGCCTTTTTTTTTAAGAGTTTATTTATTTATTTGAAAGAGAATGAGAGAGAGAGCATGAGTGGGGAGAGTGTCAGAGGGAGAAGCAGACTCCCCACTGAGCAGGGAGCCTGATGCGGGAGTTGATCCCAGGACTCCAGGATCATGACATGAGCTGGAGGCAGTCGCTTAACCAGCTGAGCCACCCAGGTGCCCCAAATTGTGCAGTCTTTAATGCAGCTACATTTCATTCACCTGCCATTGGAATTGGTAAACTTCTTTCCATTTAAATGCTATTCTCAAATTGGCCTATTATGTTCTCCAGTGAAAAATGCTTCCTTTCCTAGAATTCTGTTTTGAAGTTCATTATTCACTCTTTTGTTTCCCTTTGATTTCTTCTTCAAAGACACTGAAACCCTATTGATGTCTTGGTGATTTGACCTCACCTACTTCTGTTTGGGGGTTAGGAGGATATATTGTCACCTTGTTTTATTTTAAATATTTTCTATTTTAAATATTTTCTGTGGGTTTTGCTTTTTATATGTAATTGCTCTTTCAGTTCTATATGAGAATTTAGAAAGAATCTAAAACTTTCCTGCAACTGCCTTCTTCTATTCACAATCTTCTCTTACAAGCATTTTAATGACTAATACTTCCTCATGGAAATATACCATAATTTTCTCAATCACCCCTTAATGTTGAAAAACCTTTATACATGCTTTCCATCTTCAGAAGCCATCTCAAAACCTTCCTGTATAAAGTCTTTATAGTTTTAATGGGGAAATGACTATTAGTTATCCTCTGTTATATCCAACAATGTGTTTCTTTTATTACCCAGAACTGATCTGTTTCTTAGAGAAACTAAAATATAATGCAAACAACTAGAAAGAAATAGATAATAACTTGAAATGTGTTTATAGAAAACTAGACAAAAGAAATATTTTAAGTCCCAGAGGACAAAATACAAATGGTCTAACATACTAACACCAGTATTTCAGACAACAGATTGACAGATTTACAAACAAAAAAGAAATACTAGGTACTGGAAATCACTTGTAGAGATATAAATTAATTCCCATTTTGGTTCAGTTTGGGAACACTGAACACTTAAAAATATGTATAATCTGCAAAGCAGGAATTTCAGTTCTATGATTTGATCATAAGGGAAAAGTAGATTATGTGTTAAAATTTTAACTGTAGGAATATTTGTTATACTGATATTTATAATATTGAAAATTAAAAATTATCCAAATATCTAAAAATAAAGCATTTAGTAAAATTAGGCATATTCATGAAGTGGAATACCTTACAGCCACTAGATTATGTTGTAGAATATTATTTAATGGGGTGAATATATTTGCAATGTTTTTTTTTTTATATTTTATTTATTTATTTGAGATAGAGAGTGAGCACAAGCAGGGGTTGTGGGAGTTGGGGGGCAGAGGTAGAGCGAGAAGCAGGGCAGGGAGCCTGATGTATGGCTGGATCCCAGGACCCTGGGATCATGACCCAAGCTGAAGACAGATGTTTAATCGACTAAGTCATTGAGGCACCCCTATATTTGCAATGTTAAATGAAAAAAACAGTATAAAATATCATAAATGGTGTATCCCACTTTTACAAAAATATATATACCAAAAAAATGGAAGGATGTACTCAAATTATTCTTTTTATTATAGATTTTTATTTTTTTGTTTTTTTGTGTGTTTTTTTGAGATTTTTATTTCTTAATTTTATTTATATTTTCTATAATTAACACTCATTTTGTATTGAGAAATAACTTACCTTTAAAATAGTCAAAGAAAAATATAAATATATTCTCATTTGTTCAGTTTTGAGATTTTTGAAAAAAATTTTTTTTAAGATTTTTAAAAATGTTAATATTAATGTGGGTACATAATGCATGTATGTTTGTGTATTGCTAAGGTAGCAGCCAAGAGTATAGACACCCTAGTCATACTGTCTGATTTAAATTTAGGCTTTATCACTTTACTCTCTGTAAAAGTTGCTCAGTCATGATTTTGACTTTCTAACTTTGGGTAAATAATTTGACTTTTTGTGTTTGTTCTGTGTTTAAATGGGAATAATAAAAATACATATCTTCTTAGTATGTTCTAAGTACAGTTTGAAGGACTAAATGAGTGATTATATATGAAGTACTTAGTAATAAGCCTTCATAAATATTTTTGTGTTTTTTTAAATTGAGATATAATTGACATATAACATTGTATTAGTTTTAGGTGTACAAAATAATGTTTGAAATGTATGTTTGCACATATATATGTATATATATATATAGTGAAATAATCACAACTAATTTAATTAAAATCCATTACCACATATAGTTACAATTTTTTTCATGTGAGAATTTTTATGATCTAATCTCTTCGAAACTTTCAAACATATAATACAGTATTGTTAACTATAGTCACCATGCTATACATCACACCCCCAGGATTTATTTGTCTTATGTAACTGGAAGTTTGCACCTTTTGAGCACCTTCACTCATTTGACCATAAATACTGTTACTAGTTCTTACTACTGTACTCTTTTCTCATTTATTCATTTATTTACCACATACTTATTGATTGCCTACCATATGCCATGTATATTACCAGATATAGAAACATCAGTGAGCAAAACAAAGTCATTGCCCTCATGAAACTTATATTCTACTGCAGAAGACTGCAAATGAATATTTGATGTTAGGCAAGTCCTTTGAAGAAAAATAATAAAGAGATGGCAGATAGTACAGGGTGTTACTTAAGATTGGGTATTCATTTTAGCTTGGACCATGCAAATATCTGGGAGAAGAATATTCTTGGTTAAGAGAACAACATATATAGATTCCTGAGGCAGTAACAGTCCGATGAATATGAGGAACAACAACATCCACTCTACTGTGGATGGAGCAGAGTGAAAAAAGGAGAGAGAGTACTATAAGATGAGGTCAGAGAGATCAATGATATAGAGCTTGACCTTGGTAGGCCATTGTAAGGACTTTGGATTTTACTTAAATGTGGTGAGAAGGCAAGATTTTAATAAGAAGAATGATGTGTTGTGATTAATATTTTAAAAATATCACTAACTGCTTTTGTAATGAAAAGACTTGAGGGTCTAATTAGAAGCTGGGAGACCAGTTAAGAGGCTATTGCAGTAGTACAGGCAAGAGCTGATGATGGTGGTGGGGAGAAGTGATTGGATTTGAGATGAATTTTGGGATATATTTGGAAGTAGAGCTCTCAGGATTTGCTGATGTATTTATTTATTTATTTATTTTAAGATTTTATTTATTTGACAGAGAGAGACACAGTGAGAGAGGGAACACAAGCAGGGGGAGTGGGAGAGGGAGAAGCAGGCTTCCCGCGGAGCAGGGAGCCCGATGTGGGGCTCGATCCCAGGACCCTGGGATCATGACCTGAGCCGAAGGCAGGTGCTTAACGACTGAGCCACCCAGGTGCCCCTGCTGATGTATTTATGAGCAGTTGTGTGAATGATAGTACCATTTACTGAAATGGGCAGCACTCTGGGAAGAGTATGTATATGGGGAGCATAAGTGTTTTGTTATCGACTGTTATTTGGAAATGCTTATGATGGAAATACTCCATCTAAGTGGAGATTTTTAGACAGTTTGATATAGGAGTGGAGTTCAGAGGAGAGGTCAAGGCTAGAGATAAAAATTTGGGCATTGCCTTTGCATAAATATTTCAAGTCACTGCACTTGATGAGTGAGTTTGGATAGAGAAGAATAGCTCTGCGGTACTCCAACATTTACTGGCTAAGCAGAGCAAAAGGATCCAGCAAAGAAGACTTAGAAGGTGTGGCTGGTATGTTAGGAGGTTAGTGTAACATCTGGAAACCTAGTGAAAAAAAGTGTCAGGAAAGAGGAAGTGATCTACAGGGTGTTAGAAATTTGAGGGAAAAGTCTAAAATAATTTCTAGAAAGAATGTGTGGAGGAAATAGTTTAAGTTTCCTTGATTGCCTGGCAATACTAGAGGCTATTTGAGGTGTAATGTCATAAATTTAATGTGAGAGTAGTCAACACAGTTCATAATTATAGCCACTTTAATCTGCCCAGATATGTTTACAGAGCAGGGTGAGAGTTGGATTTAGAGTTTGGATTTTGCCATGCAAGTATGAATAAAGAAGACAGGGGAAGGGAATGTACATGCTGTGTACATGCAAGGAAGTGATTATAGTGAGGGTGTAAAATCTAACATTGATATGGTGGAACATGGGGTCAGACTCTGTGCCCCAGCCAAACCAGATCTCTGTTGCTAATAACCACATTCTGTTTTCATCTCTGCTTGTGTTTTTTGAGATGCCCTTTTTATTTTTCCTTTCTGCCACCCTTCCCAACTCCCAGCCCAAACAAACACACATATATCCAATATCTATATGTTAAAATTCAGTCCATCCTTCAAGAGAGAGCAGACATGGTACTTCTTCTTGAAACCTTTCCTCCTCACCCTCACTGAATAGTGCTTTTGTTTCCCTTTTGAACTCCTATAGCACTCTAACTTTCTAATTGGCACTTATTGGTTGATATTGTAGGATCTAGGTGTGTGTGTGTGTGTGTGTGTGTGTTAAACCTCTCTTTCTACACTGTGTAGTTGTGAGGAACAGGCATATGTCCTTATATGCTTAGCATTTATCACAACTGATGTGCAGCAAAGGTTTGATAAGTCAATGAAATCCTTTTTTTAATTTAAATTCAGTTAGCCAACTTGTACATCATTAGTTTCAGATGTGTTCAATAATTTATCAGTTTCATATAACACCCAGTGTTCATCACATCATGTGCCCTCCTTAAGTCAATGAAATCTTAAGTAAAACAATTTCTTCAGTGTTTTCCAAAGCAATTGTGAAAACCAGAATTTCATAAAGATTACTTTTACTTTCATCTATATACTCTTATACTTACTGTAGTCTGTAGCAATGATATGTTATTTTTTAACCAGCGTCATCATCATCATTATTTATTTATCTTGCAGGAGCATCTTTCTTTAAAGAAGTATATTATTGACATTGTGGTTGAAAGTGCAGCTTTACCAGAGCCTTTGAAAGATGGTGAAGAGCGGCAGAAAAATAAAAAAAAAGCCAGAAAGATAAAAGCCCGGATGAACTCCAGGTACCATAAATATCCTTAAAAACAAAACAAAACAGAAACTGTTAGTGATATATCCTTTTTAATGTAAATCTAAGGAAGACCCTCTGCCCCGGACAAAAGTTTAAACTTGTTTGCTTTAAGAAAGCCTTGAAAATAATACTGATGAGCCTAATTTATAGCCACTTTCTTTGATTGAGAAAGAAAACTGTGTATCGATCTAAAGTCCTTGCTTTCACCTGTTAAGAGCTCTTCTTATAATTGGATGCCAAAGCCCTGCCAAACTTGTGCCTCCTCCAGCATACAGTAGTATAAGTATGTGTAAACTAAGCCTATTTTTCTTTCCAACTATTGATTTTTAAATGAGGTATCAAAGAAAATCAATAGCAATCAACAAATAGAAGTCTGCTGGCTGTAGTGTCAAATCCCATGACTAGGTTTAATCAATTTGGTTGCCTGTCACAATAAGAAAAGTTCAAGAAATATCTTGAAATGGAAAGTGAGTTGTCAGACCTGTAGTTTATCATCAGCCTCCAAAGTAACATCTGAGGATCAGACAGTTGTGTAGTACATCATTACCTCATATGCTTTGAGCATCACCTGATGACTGATGAGTCTTATTCAGGACACAAATGTAGTTCCTCTGTAGTAGATAATTTTGTGCTATTTGGGGGAAGGTAATCTAAATATGTTGTTTTACCTTTATTACCAAATGTTTTGAAAGTTGGAGAAGCTTGACCCATGGGATTATAGAAATATAGTTCTAGAAGGTGAATGGTGGTTTTCGCTCTATAGTTTCCAATTTCAGATTGTAATTAAAGGTGTCCGTTTCATCTTCCAGAATCAACGAAAACTTGCAGAGTACTCATTCAAGCAAAAAATAGAAAAGGCTTTTTTGATTGTATTTTTTGAGATTCCTCTAAGTTTCTAAAAATAGTTTCACAGTATACTTGGAGGTATTACTGACCTTCATTTCTAGTTATGCTAAGAACTTGCTGACCTCCGACACTGAAATACTATACAGCCCATTTTTGTGAGTTCTTTTTTTCCTCTGCATACACATTCCCTTGCTAAGCTCCCCCAGTCCTGTGTCTCTAAATATCCTCTACTTAGTGATGACCACCAATTTAATATCTTCCAATTTTATTCAAAGACAAGCTTCTGTTCTCTCCCTCACCCCATTCTCCAAAACCCCTCTTTGTCCCATAGTTTTCTCTGTCTCGGTAAGTGGATACTCTGTTCTAGCTTTGTATGCCAAAACTCTTGAAGTTATCCTTGCCTTTTCTCTTTCTCCCACCCCTCACATCCAGTCCAACTGCAAATAATGTTAGCTTGATTTAAAATGTATTCAGGATTTGACTACATCTCTCTAACTTCACTGCTTCCCCTGAACCAATCCTTTGTCATCTCTCGCTTGAATTACTGCAGTAGCTCTGTGACTAATATCCTTGTTTCTGCCTTTGCCTCCTTGCAGTCTATTCCAAATACTCTAGCCAGAGTATTAAAATGTAAGTTAGATCATGTCACTTCTCTTCTCAAAACCTCAGATTTCCTCTTCCCACGTAATCCATACACCTATCTCCCTTATGTCCTTCTGGTCTTTGCTCACATGTTCCCTTTTTTGTGAGGCTGTCCTCAAGAGCTTGACTTTTGTTTTGTTTGTTTTTTGAAATGTAAGTAGTAGTAATTTAGTAAACAAAACCTTAGAATTATAGGAAAAAATACCTATAATTCTGTTGCTAATATTTTGACATATATATCCTTTTTATACATACCTAACCTATATCTATAGACTTTATTCTTCATTGCAGTATGATTTATTTAAGTGAAATGTGGAGATATCCAGTATGGTTTGTTGACTTTTGACAAATCTGGATACTCATGTAATCCATACTCCTATCAAAATTGTCTTTGTGCCTCTTTCCAGTCAGTTTCTTACCACCCCTGGCCCTTGGTAATCACTGACCTGCTTTCATTCATTACAGATTACTTTTTCCTGTTCAGGAAAGGGATACCAATGAAATCAAACTCCCTTGTGGCTAGCTTCTTTCACTAAATGTACTATTTTTGAGATATATCAGTGTTGTGTGTAGGTACTTTGATTCTTTTTATTATTGTACATATTCATTGTGTGCATATCCTACAATTTTTATTTATTCATCTGTTGATAGACTTTTGGGTTTCCAGTTTTGGGCATTTATAAATTAAGCTCCCCTCAAGTCTTTGAGTGTATATGAGTTTTCATTTCTCCTGGGTAAATACCTAGAAGTGGAATACCACATCGTTTTCCATAGTGGTTGTACTCTTTTACACTCCTATCAGCAATATGTGGCACTTCCAGTTGCTCCACAGTCTTGCCAGTACACACTTAATATTGTTAATTTTTAAAATCTTTAGCCTAGGGGCGCCTGGGTAGCTTAGTCATTAAGCGTCTGCCTTCGGCTCAGGTCATGATCCCAGAGTCCTGGGATCGAGCCCCGCATCAGGCTCCCTGCTCCGCGGGAAGCCTGCTTCTCCCTCTCCCACTCCCCCTGCTTGTGTTCCCTCTCTCGCTGTGTCTCTCTCTGTCAAATAAATAAATAAAATCTTAAAAAAAAAATAAAATTTTTAGCCTATTTCAGCAGGGGTGTCAGAGTATCTCAATGTGGTTCTAATTTGCATTTTCCTAGTGACTAATAATATATCTTGAGCATTTTTTCATGTGCATTTTAACCATTCAGTATCTTTCTTTATGTGTCTGTTGAAGGTTTTTGCCTATTTTATGGGATTTCAGTTGCACTTAATATAGAGTGTTTGATGTTCCACAAGTCATTTTTTTTCCTCTGCTTCAATTTGGATAGTTCTGTTGCCTTATATGATGTTTTCTTCTGCTGTTTGTCATCTGCTATTGAAATTGTCCACTGAATTTTTCATTTCATATGTTGCATTTTACATCTCTCTGAGTCCCTTTTGGTTCTTTATTATAGTTTCAGTTTATTTCTAATTCTGATTTGTTCTTTTTTATGCTTATGGTTTCCTTTAACATATTTATGAATTTATTTGAAGTCCATCATACTTACAATTTCTCCATCTGAAATTGTTTAATTGACTGATTTTTCTCCCCAGTACAAGTATGTTTCCTGTTACTTATGCCTACTAATTTTGTTGCTACTATTTTTATTTTTATCCTTTCATTGGACAGTATGAGCTCTATGTTATTGTACTTTTGGATTTTGTTGTTTTTCTTAATAGAATGTGGAATTTTATTCTCTCGTACAGGTTACATGCCTTGATTTTAAGTTTTGTGAGGTGGGTTTTGAGTAACCTTTAATTCTAGAGCTAGCTTGGCCCTACTCCTAAATGTTTGGCCTTTGTAAAGTCTCCACTGAATGACTAGAGTGTTCAATAAATATTTGTAATATAGCATTTGAAACTCAAACATCTCTCAACTTTATGCAAGCTCTGGTAATTGTTCAGCTTACAGTTCCCTGGTAGTTAGTCTTTCCTCTGCTGTGGGAAGTCTTGCCATGCTTATTCATAGATTAATATGGCCAAACACTTAAAGAGAACCTTTGGAGATTTCTGGACCTTTGTTGCACACATCCCTTCTCTCTTTGTGCATAAATGCCAACTGTGTCCTTGGCTCACACTTACATCCTCTGTTTTGGTTACCTCTTTCCCCTCATATATAGCTGTTTGGAAAATGCCTTCAGGCAAAAGATGAAGTAATCATGGGACCTAGTTAATTTGTTTCCTTTTGCTCAGGGATTACGGTCCTAGGCTACTAGTTGTCTATACATGAAAATCAGTAATTCCGTATGCTTTAGGAATTTTCATTGTTGTTCATAACAGAAGGGCCAGTGTGATATTAGTTAGTCTGTAGTGACTGAAAACAAAATTGTCAAGCAGCATTATCAGCATTCCCCAGTTCTTTTTTGCTGTAGCACTTACCATCATCTAAAATCCTATTTATTATTATTTACACTTTGTTTTTCTCTCATTAGAATATAAACTTCATGAGGATTTTTGTCTCTGTTGCTGGCACCCAGTATGTCTTCAACAAACATTTGTTACAAAGAATTAGATGAGATTAGATTGTGGGATTAGTGTTCATATCACTAGGATTTCTTTGGTGTTTTAAAAAATGGATAAAAGTACTATGAGTATTGCTTCCATAAATCAGAGTTCAGTCTTGAGGCAGGATGGTCTGTTCCAGGTTTCATGGTAGAGTTAGTGAAGCTAAGGCTGTAGAAACCTGATTCAAGACGATGTAAAACTGGATATTTGGTCTTCCTTCAGCCAGCTAGATGAGGGACACTGTCTAATGGCAAAGCCAGAATTAGCAGGTGGTTTACATTGTGGTTATGTGTTCTAAAACTAATTAGTAGTGTTCTATATGACTTATTCATGGATGAAGAACTGTGAGAGTGCATGTGTTTCCTTAGAGTTTTTACATTCAGGCAGATTTTCTTCTGAAAGAGGAGTCCATACGAACAGTCAGAACTTTACTGCTGAAATTTAAGTGGAGAGGATCCATCCTTTGGCACAGAGGACCAAGAAAAGCAAGATAGGCAGTAAAGCTCTAATCACTAGCCTGAATTTTAGGACAGAAGCATGATGACATTAAGCAAGAAACTAGATTTGTGGAACAGACTGTCATTGATCTGGAGTTTGAATGGAGGTAGGAATGAAGTAACGTAGAGAGCTGCTACTTAGAGCAACAATTGGATTCATAGGGTTTTCACTGTATATGGACAGACCTGTGTCTGCAGTGTTGGCAGCTTGCATATCACCTTCAATGTCCACTGGTAATCGTTAGGCTAACAGAATCCTTATCTCTGAAAATAATTGACTTTCAAGAAGATGTTCTGAAATGATGCAAGGAGAGAATGAGGAGTATGTGTCTATGCATATCTCTCTATATCTATATATAGGTATGTGTACATATAAATGAATATATGAGAAAAGAAAGTGAATAGCTATCTGTCCACGTATATGTTTATGTTTCGGTATAAATTCAGATATAGATGCACACACAGACATAC